AAAGAGAGAGAGAGAGAGAGAGAGAGAGAGAGAGAAACATCAGTGATGAGAGAGAATCATTGATTGACTGCCTCCTGTACGCCTCTCCTGAGGATCGAGCCTGCAACCCAGGCATGTGCCCTGTGCCCTTGGCCGGAATGGAACCTGGGAGCTTTCAGTCCGCAGGCCAACGCTCTATCCACTGAGCCAAATGGCTAGGGCTATAAAACATTGTAAAGTGGTCACTAGAAAAAAAGGGTTATAAGCTATTTAAAAATAAACAAATATAACTTGCTACATTTGGATTATACTTAGACATTCCTATTTGTTATCTAGCATCATGATGAGTTGGAAAATTGTGATATCCAGTCATTTGTTGTCTAGTTTATATGCTTGTAATACTAATTATTGGGGGTTGGATTATCTTTACTTGTCCTAGTTTTCAAATGTTGTTTTTAAATTGATATATTAGAAAATTTTTTTAACAAGATGTCTTTTTAAAAACATATTTTTGTTGATTTCAGAAAGGAAGGAGGGAGAGAGAGAGATAGAAACATCAGTGTTGAGAGAGAATCATTGATAGGCTGCCTCCTGTACATTTCTTACTGGGCATGGAGCCCGCAACCTGAGCATACGCCCTGACAGGGAATTGAACCATGACCTCCTGGTTCATGAGGTGACGTTCACCACCAAGTAACACTGGTTAGGCAGACATTTTTTAATTTATGAAACATAGTTTAAAAAGAACATATTTTAGTGAATATTAAATTTGTTTACAATATCAAACACAATATGTTGTACTCAGTCTTCTGAATGTGACAAACACAAGAGAAAGCCATGTGAATTTATTGATTTATTTTAAATATTGACTAATTTGGTCTCATAAATACCTTGTATAAATAGAATATGATAACTTACGCATGCACAATTATAAAGATCTTTATGTGAGTGGACTTAACCTAATGAAATTATTTACTTAACTCGAATTGTACTAATTCTTTGTTAGCACTCTGTAAAATACCTTGAGGTAGCTAGTAAACTATTAACATCATTATTAATGAAAACTTATGCCATATTTTAATATAACATAACATTATTTTATTGTTTCATATTTATATTCTGGCTGATAAATTTAAAGCAAATTTTCTGGTTTATGAATAAGCTCTATCTATAATTGGTATGTACCATGTAAACATAGTTAAGACAATTTTAGCTATTCACCAGAACGATCTTTTAGCTGTTATTTTGAATGTCTTTCATGCATACATTTATTTGATAAAACTTATTGAGTGCTAGAGATGGATAAAGTGTTGGGCTTTATTATTTCTCTGCCTAGTGGAAAACGAAAATCACTGTGACTTTGTTAAGCTTCGGGATATGCTTCTTTGTACAAATACGGAACACCTGAAAGAAGTAACCCACGCTAAGCACTATGAATGCTACAGGCACTGCCGACTGCAGAAGATGGGCTTCACTGATGTGGGCCCAGACAACCAGCAGCTGAGGTGAGTACAGAACTTTCTAGAACAAGCTAATGAGTGATTTACAAAGCCCCTACTATCATGAGATGCAATCATTTTGGAATGAGAAGAACTGTACTTCTCATATCGTCAATTATTCTGAATGTTTTGTGTGTGTTTTTAATCATTTTCAGACTTAGAGAACATTTGTAAGAGTAGCACAGTGCAAGGGCTCATTTATATGCTAACTTATGTGTACCCGCTATGTGCATACGCTAAAGTGTTCTATATCCAAAAGAGAAGTTCAGAAAGGAGGTTGGAGAATATTAGCACAGGTTGGCAAAGGATATTGAGAGGATGCAAAGACTACGGAGGACTGGATGGAGGGAAGAGGAAAAGCAGCATTGCACTGCCATGGAAGTCAAGTGGAAAGGGTTGGAGAGCAGGTGTATTTAGCTATATTGAAGGGAAATAGGATTTGTGCTGCAAAAGTATGACAGTTGTATTAGTGTTGGTACTTTGAGCACAACCAAAGTTGAACTGGCTATCTTAAATGAATCATAGTTTGAAAGATACTTGGCTTTATTTTAATTATTTTGAGAATCGCATAAATTAGAGATTCTTGCAAATTTTATTGTGAAAAGATGTGAAGAAATGTGATATAAGAAGTGGTGGAGGAAGAAATCCCTAATATAACTGTTTTCAAAATTCTAGTGTATATATATATATATATTCTTTTTAAAAATAGATTTGAGAGAAAGAGAGGAATTGATTTGCTGTTCCACTTACTTATGCATTCATTGGTTATGTCTTTTTTTTTTGTAGTTTTCACCCAAGGGTATTTTTTCCATTGATTTTCAGAGGGAAGGAGGGAGAGAGAGAGAGAGAGAGAGAAACAATTATGTGAGAGAGACACATCAGTTGGTTGCCTCCCACATGCCCTCCAACTGGGCTGGGGATCAAACCTGCAACCCAGGTACATGGCCTTGACTGGGAATCGAACCCACGACCCTTCAGCCTGCAGGCTGATGCTCTAAACACTGAGCTGCCAGCCAGGGCTTATTGGTTGTTTCTTGTACATACCCTGGCCAGGATTGAACCCACAACCATGGCATAGTCCAGATGATGCTCTAACCAACCTACCCAGCAAGGGCTATATTCTCTATATACAGCACTCTTATATTCAGTATGGCACCCATCTCATATTTACATCTCATGATATAGAAATTCCCATTTCTCTGTATGGGACTCAATATAGAATATATATTTTACATGTTTATTTATATTAGCATTTTAATATAAAACTAATAAAATTTTCTTTTTAGTTTTCAAGAGATCTATGAAGCCAAAAGAAAGGAGTTCCATGAACAATGCCAGAGGGAAGAAGAAGAATTGAAGCATAAGTTTATGCAGCGAGTTATGGAGAAAGAAATAGCATTCAAAGAAGCTGAAAAAGAAGCAAGTATTTGTAGTTTGATATAATTTGTGTTCATTTTTATTTATTTTTTTAAATTAAATCTTTATTGTTCAGATTATTACAGTTTTTCCTCTTTTCCCCTCCATAGCTCCCCTCCACCCGGTTCCCACCCCACCCTCTGCTTTTATTTCATATAATACTGGTTTGGTGGTGATGAACTCCTTTAGCTTTTTCTTATCTGTGAAGCTCTTTATCTGACCTTCAATTCTGAATGATAGCTTTGCTGGGTAAAGTAATCTAGGTTGTAGGTTCTTGGTATTCATCACTTTGAATATTTCTTGCCACTGCCTTCTGGCCTGCAAAGTTTCTGTTGAGAAATCAGCTAACAGTCGTACTCCCTTGTAGGTAACTGACTGTCTTTCTCTTGCTGCTTTTAAGATTCTCTCTTTGTCTTTTACTCTTGGCATTTTAATTATGATGTGTCTTGGTGTGGTTCTCTTTGGGTTCCTTTTGTTTGGGCTTCTCTGCGCCTTTACTTCTTGAGTACTGCAGCTTTAGTTAGAATACTATAGCCAATCTTGAAGTCAAGTAGCATCAGTGCTCCAACTTTGTTCTCTTTCAATATCGTGCTGGCTTTCTGGGCCTTCTGTTTTGCCATATACACTTTAGAATCAGTTTGTCAATATCCATAAAATAACTTGCTGGGATTTGGATTGGGATTGCGTTGAATCTCTAGATCAGTGGTTCTCAACCCTCCTAATGCCGCAACCCTTTAATACAGTGCCTCATGTTGTGGTGACCCCCAACCATAAAATTATTTTTGTTGCTACTTCATAACTGTAATTTTGCTACTGTTATGAATCGTAATGTAAATATCTGATATGCAGGATGTATTTTCATTGTTACAAATTGAATATAATTAAAGCATAGTGATTAATCACAAAAACAATATGTAATTATATATGCATTTTCCGATGGTCTAAGGCGACCCCTGTGAAAGGTTGCGACCCACAGGTTGAGAACTGCTGCTCTAGATTATGTGGGGAAGAATTAACATCTTGATAATATGTAGTCTTTCTATCCACAAATATGGAATATCTATTTATTTAGTTCTCCTGATTTAAAATTATTAACCGTATTTATTTATTTTTAGAGAGAGAGAGAGAAAGAGAGAGAGAGGAAGGGAGATATATATCTTGATTTATTGTTCCTTATTTAAGAATTCATTGGTTGCTTCTTGTATATCCCCTGACCGGAGATCGAACCTTCAACCTTGGTGTATTGGTATATGTGCTGCTGAAGTGAGCACGAACCTTGGTGTATTGGGATGTTGCTCTAACTAACTGAGCTACCTGGCTAGGGCTCTTCTCTGATTTTTAAAATCAGAGTTTTTTAGTTTTCCTTATGTGGCTTTGTATATATATATTTTTAGATTTATACCAAAGTATTTCATGTTGGGGGGTGCTAATGCAATTGGTATTGTTTTAATTTGAAATTCTACCTATTCATTGCTGATATATAGAAAAGCAGTGAACCTTTTTAAAAATTTTTGGAATATAATTTTCAATCATCTTTTACTTTCAATTACAGTTGACATACATTATTATATTACTTTCAGTTGCACACCCCAGTGATTAGAAATTACATAACTGGAGTGATCATCCCAATAAATCTTGTACCCATCTGAGATAATACATGGTTATTAGACTAGTATTGACTATATTCCATACACTCTACTTTGCACCCCCATGACTATTCTGTAACAATCAATTTATACTTCTTAAATATTTCACCTTTTTTGCCTATCCCCCAAAACTCCTCCCATCTGGTAACTATAAAAAATTTCTTGTTATTCATAGAACTTATCTCTGGTTGAAGTTCTACTAATTTTTAAAATGTGTCTGCTCATTGTATATTTTCCTCTAAGTCTCAACGCGGGCACCTTGGCCCTCCCGTTAGCTGCCGTATCCTCAGCATTTAGAACAAAGATTAGCATGGAGCAGGCACTCAGTCGTTATGATTCCGTTTTTGTTCTGCTTGTTGGTTTATTTTGTTTCTTTAGATTCAATTGTTGGTAGATATCTATTTATTGCCATTTCATTTCATTTTTAAAATATATTTTTATTGATTTCAGAGAGGAAGGGAGAGGGAGAGAGAGAAACATCAATGATGAGAGAGAATCATTGATCGGCTGCCTCCTACACGTCCCCAACTGGGATTGAGTCCACAACCCAGGCATGTGCCCTTGACCGGAATCAAACCCAGGACCCTTCAGTCAACATGCCAATACTCTATTCATTGAGCCAAACCTGCTAGGGCTATTGCCATTTTATTGTTCATATTTTTTATTTTCTTCTTAAAGAAGACCCTTTAACATTTCACAGAATACTGGTTTGGGGGTGGTGGTGAACTCCTTTTGCTTTTTCTTGTCTAGAAAGCTTTTTATCTGTCCTTCAGTTTTGAATGATAGTTTTCTTGGGCAGAGTAATCTTGGTTGTAGGTCCTTGCTAAGAAAAGCAACTAACCTTATATCCTGCAACTTTGCTATAATCTCAGTTTTATGTCTTCTTTCTCAATCTGTAAATATTTTATTTCCTTCTGTTGTCTTATTGCCGTAGCAAGGACTTCTAATACAAGGTTGAAAGGGAGTGATGAGAGCATACATCCTTGCTTTGTACCTGTTTTGGGGAAAACTTCAGGCTTTTCACCAGAGTCATTGATATTTGAAATGTTTGTACACTAGGATGAAGTTTAGCTTTCTCTGATTTCTACTCTCACGCTCCCATTTTAAAAAGAAATATTTCCACAATGATTTTTGCCATCACTTACAGATACCACACTCTCACATCCCCAGCCTTTCCATTCATTCTTCTTGCCATTGTATCTAGATGCTCATTTGCTTCTCAGGGCTGAAGATGTAATTCCAAGAGACATCTGACTCCAGGAAAGGAAAAAAGAATCTTTATTTAGAACCATGATCTCAGCCTTTGCTGCACAATAAAATCACCTGGGGAATTTTCTTAAGCATTGATGCCTGGGTTCCAGCTCCAGGTCATCTGATGTAATTGATCTTGTGCAGCCTGAACATTGAGAGGTATGTAAGCTCACTGAATAGTTCTAATGAGCACCTAGGGTTGAAAACCACTGGTGCTCACTCCGTGTATGTGTTCTCCACAGTCATATACACCAGACGGTTAATATTGTGGCAATAGAATCCCCCGGTCTACTTGTTTTTCAAAAAGTTAAGCTGCAAATAAACTTGTCCTTTAGACTCTTATGCCATACTAGAGGCCCGATGCACGAAATTCGTGCAAGGGGTTCAGCCTCCACTGCCGTGGCAGCTGCCTTGGCCCCTGCTGCCGTGGCTTTGTCAGGAAGGTCATCCGGAAGAACGTCCAGTCTAATTAGCATATTACGCTTTTATTATTATAGTCTAGTGGCCTGGTGCACGAAATTCATGTGGGGGTGGGGGGCATGTTACTCAGCCTGGCCTGCACCCTCTCCAATCTGGGACTCCTTGGGGGATGTCTGACTGCTGGGTTAGGCCCAATCCCTGTGGAATTGGGCCTAAACTGGCAGTCAAACATTCCTCTCACAATCTGAGACTGCTAGCTCCTAACTGCTCACCTGTCTGTCTGCCTGATAGCCCCTAACCACTCTGCATGCTGGCCTGCTTGCCCCCAACTGCCCCCCCTACTGTCCTGATCACCCCCAACTGCCCTCCCCTCCAGGCCTGATCACCCCTAACCACCTGTGCCTTAGCCCTGCCACCATGTCTTTGTCTGGAAGGATGTCCCGAAGGTCTCCCGGTCAAATTAGCATATTACCTTTTTATTAGTATATATAAGCCATACCTTCTCTGATGCATACAAGCAATCCTTACATTGTTGAATGAAGTTGTGTTAAGATCTAGGCCCAACTCTAATGGACTCTTTCATATGGCTGATTATATTTATTTTAAATCCCACAGATTAAATACAACCTCACAAGTAAATAAAAAGTAACTGAATGAGGTGTTTGGAATTTTTTTTCTATAATTATGCTAATTTCACTTAAGAAGAAAAGGTCTGTATCATTTAAAGTCTTAACAATTGTTTCATCATTCCTACTATATTTCAATGTGTATATTTTTAATGAGCATGAATTTATCAAATTTTATTTGAAGAGATTTATAGGGAAGTGTAGAGTGAGAAAATAGATATTATTTGGAAAAACAAGTATTTAAAAAACTGAGTGTTGCCCTAGTCAGTTTTGCTCAGTGGATAGAGTGTTGGCCTGCGGACTGAAGGGTCCCGGGTCCAATTCCGGTCAAGGGCACATGCCTGGGTGACGGTCTCACATGAAGGGAGTAGCTGATCAATGATTCTCTCTCATCATTGATGTTTCTGTCTCTCTCTTCCTCTCTGAAATCAATAAAAATATACTTACAAAAAATAAAAAACCGTGTTGTTTATAGCCATAGTTTTTATTACATTTGGTTCAATGGGGAGACACTTTTTAATTGATGAATTTTTTAAATATGTGAATGTTTATTTAAAACAAAGTTTTGAGATTGTTATTAAGATCAAACTCTACTTTGATGATTAATATATGTTTGATAACCAGGAAAGAAGTCAAGCATGTTCCCAGAGATACCCACATATGGCGCTTTGAGTCACAAATGCATCTTTGTTTCACAGCTACAGGACAAGTTTGAGCGTCTTAAAAGAATCCAGCAAGAGGAGACAATAAAACTTGAGGAGGAGAAAAGAAAACTGGATGAAGAAATCATGAATTTTTATAAAATGAAGGCTGACTCTGAAATATCACAGACTCAGGGTTGCGCCAATATAAAAAAGGAGAAAGATCGTAAGAAATAGTCCTCTCTCACCATTCTCTGTTGTAGAGCCCTGTCTCTTTGGGAGATGACCTTCATAGCACTTACCTGATTGAAGTTCTACTAATTCTTAAAATTTGTTTATTATATGCTGGTTAATAAATTTTCCTTCAACTCTTAAAAGCAGGCACCTTCTAACTGCTATGTCCTCAGCATTTTCCTTATCAAAATCTACTGAGTGATTTCTTGATAGTTTTTATTATAATAGAAGATTAAGTTTTTGATTAGAACTGCTATACTTTGATGTCAGTTCTTATAAAACTAATATTCAGAAGTTAGAGAGAGCCAAAGAACAATGGGAAACCGTAATATTTTGCTGACAATAGTATGCCTTATATGTTAAAACAAAAGTTATCAAAGTATTAGAAATAAGATAATGCTTTGTAATTTCCAAAATTTCCTTACAGCATGAAAGTCATACCAATTCTATAGTACATATAGTGTAGTGTTATGAACACTTGTAATTAACATGTTTCTGAAAATACACTTGTGAGCTAGAAGTGATACACATTCTTTAACACACGTATTAATGTGTTAAGAACACATGTAGTTAGATTTCCCTAAATAGTACTTGCCAGCTCTGCTGTGCACAATGTATTTCAGTGATTGGGAGGGACATTTGAAACAAGCGTGTATCAAACAAAGCCCCTTGCAAGCTGCGTTTTGAATGATGTTACTTCAGGGAATGGAGGTGATGCTCATTCTGCCACGCATGTAGTGAATTCTTAACGAATTTCTAAGAACACTATTTGCAAGCTGCAATCAAAGGAGTTTTATCTCAGTCATGGAAATACACTTCGTAATGAGTGTGGTGGTGATAAAGAATAGGTCGAAAGATGATGTTGCTAAGAGTGCCCATTGTAAGCTGAATTTAAACCAGCTCATCAGTGAGTGAAAGGGATCACCATTGTGTTATGAAGGTAGTGATGTTATTACAAACAACTCTAATAGAGATATTTGTAAATTGCTGCTTTCCAGCTTTACTCAAGCCAGTGTTATATATACAGGTGAGTAAAAATGATCCCCTTCCTGTAATGCATGTAGAAAAATGCTTAAGAACATTCTTTTTTTAAAAAAAAACATTTTATTGCTTTTTACAGAGAGGAATAGAGAGTTAGAAACATCGATGAGAGAGAAACATCGATCAGCCGCCTCCTGCACACCTCCACTGGGGATGTGCCCACAACCAAAGTACATGCCCTTGACCGGAATCGAACCCGGGACCCTTCAGTCCAAAGGCTGACGCTCTATCCACTGAGCCAAACCGGTCAGGGCAAGAACATGCTTTCTAATACAACTTGCAAGCTGCATTTTGACTACTGTTATTTCAGTAAATGAAAACAATGCACATTCTGAAATTCATAAAGGTTTTTAAATGTATAAAGGATACTAGTTATGAAGATATTTCTAAGAACGCTACATGCAAGCAGTTTAAGAACAGTGTTATAGTCAAGAATGAAAGTGACATTATTTTTTATAAAATTAAAAAAACATTTTTTAAATTTTTATTGATTTCAGAGAGGAAGGGAGAGGAAGAGAGATAGAAATATCAATGATGAGTGAGAATCATTGATTGGCTGCCTTCTGCATGCTCCCCTCTGGGGGTCGAGCTAACAACCCAGACATGTGCCCTGACCAGAAATCGAACTGTGACGTTCTGGTTCATAGGATGATGCACAACCACTGAGCCACACTGGCCAGGCTAAGGTGACACTCAGTCTGTAATGAATATAGTGAAGTAATTACGATCTCTTCCAATACATATGTTTCTAAAAACACTAGAAATATAAATTTTAAATTTTATGTTAAAATTCAATTATATCAGCAAATGTTATATCAAGAACACTCTAATAAAGATGTTTCTAAGAACGCTACTTGCATTGGAAGCTGCATTCAGAACAGTGTTACATCACTACATGGAGGTGGTCCCCATTCTGAATGTATGTAGTGAAGTGTGTAAGAATGCTGATACTAAGGATGTCCCTAGGAACATTAGTTGTAAGCTACCTTCAGACCTGTGTTATATCAGAAGGTAAAAGTGATCCATTCTTTAACCCATGTATGAAGTTTTAAGAACACATGTAATAAACAGGTTTCTAAGAATGACACTTTGGAATCTACCATCATGCCAGTGTTGTCTCAGTGGTTGGTATTGATCTCCATAGTTTAATGTACAGAGTAAAAGGTGTCAGAACAGTTGTAATAAAGATGTTTCTAAAATCACTACCTAAAACCTATGTGATCACCAGTGTCATATCAGTGAACTGAGGTGGTCCCCATTGTGTAATGCATGTACTGAAGTTTTAAAAACACTTACAATAAACTTATTTCTAAGAACACAACCTGCGTGCTGCATTCAGATCTGTGCTATCGCTGAATGGAAGTGTCTCCACACCCTAAGGCAGTGGTCGGCAAACTCCTTAGTCAACAGAGCCAAATATCAACAGTACAGCGATTGAAATTTCTTTTGAGAGCCACATTTTTTAAACGTAAACTATCTAGGTAGGTACACTGTTATTAACTTAATTAGGGTACTCCTAAGGCTTAGGAAGAGCCACACTCAAGGGGCCAAAGAGCCGCAGTTTGCCGACCACGGCCCTAAGGCATGTAGTGAAGTGAATTAGAACACTTTCTAAAGAGATGTCTCCAAGAACGCTCTTGTCAGCTGCATTCGGAACAGCATTATGTCAGTGCAGGAAAATGACACCAATTGAGTAAGAACATCGACATGGGGTTTGACGCCACGACACATGGCTGGGCAGTAGTACCCATCAATTCAGCACTTCAGCTGGGCTCTCCAGGCCGGGGAAGCCATGTCCTTCCAAACCACCTGGTTATTGTTCTGGATGAACAATATGATCTGCAATATGATCTGAAGCTGGTGTTGCAAGGATGGTGACGGCCATTCCCCTATTGGTTGTGCTGTCGCTGGGGTCCTGCATCTCTCCAGGACCAAGGACTCTCATTCCACTCCCAGATCTCCTGGGTCCCACCTACCAAGGCTTAATATTTCCCGAGATATTTGGCCTGTTTGAATAGGAGCCTCTGAGAAGATACGGAATTGGACTTTGGCCCATGCCTGGTTTTTCTCAGGACGGCAAAGAGTGGCTTGGCTTCTCCTGGACTGAGTCTTGGACTGGTTCCGGGTCTGAGCAGGGACTTACTCTCCTTGCTCTGAAGAACTGTGTAGGGCCAGAGCGCGCAGTTCCATCCTGATCCAGGTTTCCACCAGCCACGACCCTTCTGACAAGAATTTCCAGGTCTCTTATTGGAGGGTAAACCTCCAGCTCCTCCCAACCAGTGTTGGCAAGACTTTGAGTTCCCCCAGGTCTTGTTCAGGAGGAACAGCTGACAGTAGTTAGGACAGAGATGGGAATTACTGAGACACCGTGGGCACCCCTGGTCCTGCACCGCGAACAACCAATCATGTCCCTTGAAATTATTGTTATTCCTGGATATTCTCAACTAAGTGTCATGCAGTAGGCACCCCTTCAGAAGGACTTGGGCTACAGGTCCCTTTAGGCTTGTAGGACCTTGGTCTTTGGACCTTGGTGGGGGTTCCCCCTTGCAATACAATCACGTGCTGAGGCTACAGAGGTGGAAATAGCCCGCAATTGCTCAAGCTGCCTCTCAGGACAGGACTTTGGGAGTTTTCAGAAATTCCTGTCTCACCAATCAACGCTTTAGAGTTTCAGGGACACCTGGCTTCTGGGGGAATAGGAACCTCTGTGCAGGTGCAGGATTGGACATTGGCATATCATTTCTCCCCAAAAGCGCAGAGAGTGACTTGGCCACTCCTGCATTTAGTCCTGGGCCCGGAACAAGACCAAGGCTGGGTCTTAGGTCCCTTTGTCATGGGGATCGGAACAAAATGTGCATGTGCAGCTTAGTTCCCGCCCCAGGCCTCCTTTAACCGTGAGCTTTTCAACAAGGATTTCCAGATGTCTCTCATTGGAGGATACCCTGCCAGCCTGGCCCCACCACAGTATAGGAGTTTTTTGTTGTTAATCCTCATACAGGGATATATTTTCCATTGATTTTTGAGACAGAAACCCATTGATTGGCTGCCTCCCAAACTTGCCCTGACTAGGCCAGGGATTGAACCTGAAACCCAGGTATGTGCCCTTGGCTGGGAATCAAACCCACAATCCTTTGGTGCTCTATCCACTGAACACACTGGCCAGGGCAACATGGGATACTTTTGAGTACTCCCAAGATCTTCCTCAGGGGTAATAGGTAATTAAGTAGAATAGGGATTGGAATTAGGGAGATGCCTTGGATCTTTCATGAACCCCCACCAGTAAAAGGCACCTCTTTACCCTTGAACTCTCCGTTATCCCTGGTTACCCTGACCCGCCAGCATGCACATGCATAGTGGGCATGTCTGCAGCAGGCTTTGGGCTCCTGAAGCCCTTCAGGCTTGTGGGCCAAAGCTCATTCAAACCTTTTGGGTATTGTCTTTGATGGAGGGGTTCCCCTTGAAATATGAAAAGATACTGGGGCTTCACAGGTGCAACCGTCAGTCCCCAAATGATTGTGCTAATGGGGTCCCTGTCCCATCCAGGACTTATGACTCTTCGATGTCTCCTGTTGCAGATTGTCCGGTCTCACCAATTAAGGTTTACAGTCCTCACAATATTTGTCTTCCGGTTCAATAGCATCCTTTATGCTTGTGTAGGTAGGAACATTGGCAGATGCCTGGTTTTCCACAGGAGCCCGACTGTGGGCTGGTCTCTCCTGAGCCGGCCCCTGCAGCAGGACCAGGAGCCAGGCTGTCTTATCCCCCTGGCTCTGGAGGTGAGCAGAGCTGCATGTGTTCATTCTTGAGCCCGGGCCTCCAGCAGCTTCGACCAACCCAGCAACCAGGACTCCAAGGCGCCCCTTAGTGGAAGATTCCACAGTGGGTCCTTCTTCACCTCTCCATGGCAAGACTTCGGAGTTACACCCTGTTGTCTTCAGTGGGAATAAGTGACATTGATAGGCAGGGACTGAGATTTAGGCACATGCCTTGTGTCCCAAGTGAATGTGTGCCTGTGATTTGGCCCCTCTGCTTCTGGCTACCCTGAACCACACTCCATACAGATGAGCTGTATGCAACCCTCCAGCAGGCTTAGGGCTCTGGGGCTCCCCAGGCCTGTCGGACCATGGCTCATCCATCCACACCACCTCAACATTTCCCTGGGTGGAGGGTTCCCTACCCCACAATATGATCTAAAATTGGGGCTTGCCCTGGCTGGTTTGGCTCAGTGGGTAGAGCATCGGCCTGCGGACTTAAGGGTCCCAGGTTCGATTCTGGTCAAGGGACTATCAAGCTCTTTTCCATCTCAGCGTGTTGTTTATTTTTTTTTTTAAATAATAAAATAAAATTGGGGCTAAAAATGTGGCAATAGTCTGTCTCCACGTTGTGCTCCGCTGACGGGACTCTGGGCCTTTCCGTTACCCAGGACTCCCAGGTGTCTCCCATTCCATGACAGATTGGTCACAAACCAAGTCTTCAGTGTTTCAGTCATGTCTGGCCTCGGGGTGACTAAGTCTCCATGCACATGAGCTTGGGAACTGGCAGATTTCTGTTCTCCGCGTCCCTGGTGTCCTGGCCCAGGACAGGTTCCCTGGCCTGTCCTCATGATCTTTGCTCTGGAGAGATACACAGGACCCCAGTGGGCATTCAACATAGTGCAAGTCATCCTGAACCAGATGTTAAAACCTACGCAAAGTGTGAATAGGGGCTTTTCCCAGCACTCGCTGAGAAGGAAACCTCCATTCAGATGGCAACTTTGCCAACCACCTCAAGAAACTGAAGAATTGAAAGCCACGGAGAAACTGACCAAAAAGGAAGAAGAAATAAATGAGGGAAAGGTAATATTTATTTTCAAGTATAATTTTGGTTAGACACCATTTTTGCCCTCAGAGACGTCTTTACAACTTGATCAAAGATGGGACTCCACTGCACCATATTCCAGTTTGATTGGCTGTATATTCAACAACTAAGTCTCCTTTGTTTTTATTTTAATTATTTTTATAATCTACATATACATATGCCTACTATGGTCCCTTAGAGATCAAGCATTCCAACTCCATTTGCTTTTCTTTTTGTAACTATTAGTTTTCATGGGGAGGGGGTAGAGATTGCCTGTGGTTGCTCATGGAACAGCGACACCTGACAGAAAACAAAGACCTTCACCTCCAGAATGGGCCCTTTCTTTCCGCTCAGTGTGAATGAGTTTTCTGTCATGTCCATTATTCCCAATATATGAAATGAACAAGAGTTCCAGGGTGGCCATGGGAAAAGCGAGGGCTCTTCTCACGCTGCCTTGCAGATTATACAACGCAGTATGTCTCAGTAGGAGGTGAGAATGAGCAGCACTTTACTGGGCTCACATTATACGACAGGCAGGAACAAGAGCTGGACTCAAAGCTGCACAAATTAGCAGCTTTTATGTGAGCTTCGACCTCAGTATTTGCTCCCATTCACTCCATAAAGGCTTCTAACTTAGTAAGCTAAGACATTTCCACCTCTAGCGAACTTTTTGTCTTCTGAGAAGTCCAAGTCATGCAACATTAAATACTGGAATAAGCACTGGTATAGGTTAATATTAAATAGTGGGATATACTTCTCATGGGACTTTTAATTGTAAAAAATGACCATATTACAGTATTAACGTTTTGACCTGATACTTTTTAACATCTATCCCTTAATAGTCCTTTCCCTGGTAAATAAAAAAGATCAAACTAGATTTCCTTTAAGAAAAGTTTATTTTGTCTTTTTCCTAGAAGCAAAACTAATGAAAATTAAAGTATAAAAATAAATACAATTCACATTAATGAACATTCCACTTCAAAGTAAATATTAAAAAAATAATGCGTATAAATAAAAATCCATTAAAAGCACAAAAACAATGTCTGGCACTTTTATGAGAAAAGCTGTGAACATTTAAACAAGGTATAAAACACACATGCTCTATCTTAAAAAAAAACACACTCAAGTTTCTCATCCTTAATCTAAAACTAGTTTTAACTTTCTCCAAAACATACTATTTGTTTTAGCTAATTTGTATTAGTGTACACAAAACTTTTAGTATCTTTCTTACTGGAAAGATCCACAATGATATGAGCAATCTGTCTCCTGAGGTTTCAGAACGATAAAGCATAATTTATCATATTAAGATAATTTGATATTCTTGCCTACAAATAAAAAAATTGGTAACTCAGACATTTTACCTGTCTCTTAACTTCCTGGTTTACTCATTTAACAAATGATACATCTCAATAAAGTTTACACCCGGATAGAGTAGGCTATTACTTTCTGTCCATGGTTGGCTGTAAAAGTTAAATTTTAAATAGAACAGAAAATCAAAGAAAACAATCTTTATCTTCATTCTTTAAAGAATATTAGGAATATATATAGGCTACATTTTCAAACACCAGTATCTTTTAAAAATTCAGACAGGTTAAATGTACACAGTCCCAATTTTATGTGAGAAGCACAAAGCCCTTTTTGGAAATGCTATCATAAATCAACAGTGGCATTCTCTTTCATAAAATCATAGTCCCTTAGTAACATTTTTTGGTTTATATTTTAAATGAATATGTTAGTGATGAAAAACTTTAAAAGGCAGTGCTTCTTAAATAATGCAGAATTTCAACTAGATAATATTACTATCCCATTTGAAAATCTGACCTTCTTATTATGTTATATAGCCCTTTGTTCTCTCCTAAATCAAGCATGCTAGAAAAAGCAGACTCTGAAGAAACAAAATATACAGACTAAATGGAAAACAAAACTGCATGCAACATTCTATGTTACAGAGATGAATGTAACATTAATGCATGCCACTACATTCAGGAAGACTGTACTGTCTTCACCAAAGTTGTCACCCTCTACAGAAAGATTTGATAATTCAGCAGAAATGTTTCTAAGAGTACTGGGACAACAAACATCAAACCTAACATTTCTGTAAGACAACTAGCTGTTGAGAGAAATGTGTGCTTATGACCAAAAGGGTGATCCCCAGATACTTCCATGGTAAATGTTAGGTGGACCTACAATCAGCAGGCAAATGCTTTATTCTACATGGCTATCCTGTAAGACCAAGAATATGAAGGCTGAGAGATTAATCAGTTTTTACAAAACTGGGAGAAAACATTTTTTCTGCAATAATTTCCCCTTGAATAGAACAGCATCTAATATATCAAATTCAGCAATCAGTATGCAGAGATGAATGAAATTTAATTTCCGAACCTATATTTTATCACACCTTTTCAGTATTTTATAAATATAAACCCAAATATCCTTTTAAGTTTACAAAAAGTTCTCAACAGTCATATGGGTGCATAAAACAAACTTGTTTGTACAGGTTAAGCATAGAGATGAGTCAATTAACTAAATACTAATTTGTCTTCACCCAAACCTAATGTTAAAAGGAAAATGGGGGTGTGGGAAGGAATTAGCCAGACTGACCATATTACCCACATAATTATTCAGCCCTTTGACGTCACTTTGTCTGTGTAAACAGTCCAGGGTGAAATGAAAGTCTTGGGCATGGACAATAATATGGATGAAACCCTCCCCGCTTTTTATCCTAATGAATGTTGTCTTCTTAAATTGTCGCAACATTTGGCCGCTTTCTTTGGATTTTTCCTGCATATACTCCTAAAAATAGAGCAAAACTAATATTATTTCTCAATGTTAGTTTTTCTGTAATGATACTATATAATGCTCTTGCCCAGCACTAAGTTAAGCAATATACATTATCATATTTAATCCTTACATAAAATCCTGAGGTAGAAACTGCTACCTCTGCGATAAAACTGAGACACAGGAGAGTAAGTCACCTGCCTAAGTAACAGAGCTAGAAGCAGAGATTCCGAGACCCTAACTCAACCTGCTTTGTTGCATTCCTTACCCATTTTCCATTGCTGCCTCCTATTCTGCCTTAATTAGTGGTTTCTGAATTTCACTATCAACCCTTGAGTTAAACACAAAACATAAAGTGAACAAATATGCTTTAAAGCATACAAGATCAGACATTGCAATTTAGTTTGTAAAACCTATAAACAACTTTAAGTGCTTTGCAGTAAATTTTAACACCTTAGAATTCTACTTCATTCTAAGATTATGATATTCTGTCATCATAAAAATGAATTTCCTAAAATTGCTTACTAAATGGTTTGTTCTCCATGTAGCTTAAATCAAAGCATAATTTCAAATTTGTTTGAAACATAATCCAGACCATTAAAAATCTAAACAGGAAAGAGTAATCTTTTCAAGAACAACTATGAATCCCTCTGTTGAGAATTTTACATATCCCAAATTTTCATTTTATGTAAAAGGGTAAGATTCTCTAGTTTTTTAAAATCATTTAAATACTAGAGGCCCGATGCATGAAATTTGTGCAAGGGGCTTGGCCTTTGCAGCCATGGTGGCTTGCCTGGGCCCTCACAGGCCCGGCTTCGTCCAGAAGGTTGTCCGGTCTAATTAGCATATTACGTTTTTATTATTATAGATGCACTCATGTCCAAGTAAATCTTAGGAAAGGATTTCTGTACCTGTTTAGGTATATATTAATTAGACATGCTAATTCAAGGGTTGAGTTCATTTATATTATGTTATGATGCAATTAAATCACAATACTTTTCAATACTGAAATTCATTGTATATTATTAACTGCAGTGACATTGTTGAACATTCCTGAATAAAAACAGTAGTTGCTATTTTGCTTACAAGTTCACAAGTGACAAAAAGTGGAGATGAAATGCATGAGAAAGAACATGGAGAGTAGTCACTGTGGCAAATAGATAATTTGAGGCAAAATAGTATTAATTCCTCAATGATTTGCCAACTAGCTAGGCTTTATCACCATGAGATAAATATATATATATATATATATATCATGGGGGAAAATTGAAAATGTCCTTTTAAAAAGTTGAATTTTCAAAAGTTGAAAATTCTATATAACTTCACAAGCAATAGATCTGGTGTTTGGTCTGAGTTCTTTCAAAAGGTTATTTTTCAAACAGCTCATTCTGACTCCCTCTGGAATGAGCAGGATCTTCAACTGCATAAAGAACTGACCAACTGTCACTCACAGTGACTTTCAAAAGATGACATTTAAATTATCGTCTATACATGCAACATTATGAATGAAATTCACTTTCTACATGCAAAGGTCAGCAATCATTTCCAAGTTATGATCAATATCTGATTCCTTCTTTGAACTTCTATGAGCAAGTGGTGATAATATGAAAAAAAATTCTTATGTTGCTTGTTTTCTCCTACTTTGGAGAAAATCACTTAGTAATAAAAGCTCTAAAATATGCTAAATGTATATTAATGAGATTATAATTTATTATAAATTTAATCGTCATTGCCTGATTTTGGTTTTTTAGATGCTTAAAAAGTAGTATAATTTAAAAAAGCATTTTAGAAAGTATTTTTAATGGATCATGTAATTTTTTGTGAGCTTATCAAAGTGTGTTAACAAAGATAAATAAAAAATATTAAAACATTAGCTTAAGCATTTTGCATTAGCTCAACACTGAATTTGTCTCTTGCCACCATACAGAGAATTTTAAAATACATTATTTAGTTTAGCCCTTAAAGAATCCTCTAATAATGAACATAGATTTAACGCAAGCTTCTTATTGAGCACAAAAGAACTTATCCCCTCCCAACTGGCATATTCACATGTGATCTTGTGGTCAGAGGGAGAATTTCTTTCCCTTCTGTACAGATAAAGTATTCCTGGGTAATAGCTACACTTCCCCAAAACTGAACATGCATAGACTTAGGCATGAGATCACTGTTATATTTCACTCATTTATAAAAAGGTTTCTGAATTAAGCATGGATAATTCTACAAAATTTTCAGATTAAAAACAATAGTGTTTCTATGGATTATAGAAATCAACGTTGGAAACAGTTTTAGTAAGATCTCCTCCTCACTGCCACAAATTACTAACACAAATGATCACTTTATAGGCATGACTGTGAATATGCCAGAATTATGGTGGCAAGGACAACTGATCCCATGCGTGAGGCCTGCATTACAGGGCAGCTTGTGCACTTGTTTCTTTCAAATGGGCTTCGCAAACTCATTGCTACACACCTGAAACAGGCGCTCTGTTAGGCACTCTGCTCTGTGAAGACTTCTGTCTATTTTGCACAACCCCCTTCAGTGATGTCTTAGGGGTTCTAATTGAATATAAAAGAATTAATAAGTCACTTGCATTAAGGTCTAGATGTTCAACATTCAAAGAAAGCAACCATACTGCATCAATTGTTCTTAACACAAATAAGCTTGAAAATAATTTAAGTCTCATGCATGCTCATTAGGAAAGCTATACTTTGCTTCAGCAGGTGACTGTAACATACTTTGTTGTAGAACACTTTGGTGACGCTGAAATTACTATATGGATGTTTACGATATTTAATGAGCAAAATGGTATGAAATGAAAAGTAAAAGCATGCCAACGTAAGATGATAATTAAAATATAATATACAATAGTACACCAAAGGGTTATCTCTGAACACAAAACTTTAAAAGTTTTTTCTAGTTCTATAAAAAATATCACTTTTGAAAAACAGCTATCCTTTATACAAAGAGCACTAAATTATTTTCCCTCTCAAAGCTAATCTTGATTTAAATATTTTTGATACCCTTATGTGTTGCATTCTTACCCTTGTCTACTAAGTAGCCTATGAACAGGAGCATTCTGTCCTTGGTTTGGCTGAAGAACTCTGTTAACAAAATAAAAAAAAAATTAATTTAACAGGATAAATTCCGTTTTTCCCCATTTTCTTTAGATAAAATGATAACAGGGTGGTAGAAGTCATCTATGCAATGATATGGCCACTATAATACTACAAAGCAAAGCAAACTGATTAAAGCAAATTAATATGGTACTTATATTTTGCTCACCAAGAACTCAAACATCAGGTTTTCGTCAGGAAAGAGATATCCAACATAAGTATTAATCCTGATGCTTTTAGGTAATTTATTTATATACTTTACAAAAGCCAATTTTTCCTTTCAAATATCTGAGAGAAGAAACTTCACTCTTACAAGAGTAGAAAACAGATCAGAAATATTAAGTTAGCTTTCGAAGGTTTTTATATATTTTATTGATTTCTTACAGAGAGGAAGGGAGAGGGATAGAGAGCTAGAAACATCGATGAGAGAGAAACATCGACCAGCTGCCTCCTGCACACTCCCCACTGGGGATGTGCCCGCAACCAAGGTACATGCCCTTGACAAGAATTGAACCTGGGACCTTTCAGTCCACAGGCCAACGCTCTATCCATTGAGCCAAACCAGTTAGGGCTCGAAGGTTTTTAAATAAATATCAAAGACCCCCTTCTCCTCCCCCCATGGACTGAACTCAGGACATAAGGACTCAAATTTTCACCAGAGACAACATGTCTCATAGAAAGCTCCAGGAATATCTGGTCTGACATGTGACCAGGTACATGATCAGGTGTTAAAACGAATTCTGACCCTGAGATCCTCCAACTCAGCAGAGAGTGTTCTACTGAGAAAAAATGGAACAAAGCGAATAAAAAGCAAGCTCAGGATTTATAACATTTTCTTTTTTTAAAAAATAAAAAAAATAGCCTCTCATTGAGGCTAAGTGATTTTTCTCACCTTGCTTCAGAAGGGTTTTGTTTAACCAGGAATTTCTTATTTGGCATTCCCATTTCAGCAGCTCTAACACAATATACAAATAAGGACACACAAACAATGAGTTCAGAAAGGGGGAAAAGACATGTTTACAAATGTGATACATGGTGGCAGAAACAAATCATCTTAAAAGAGTGTACCACGAAAGACCTCTAATTAAGCATATGAAAGACTACTTTCAAGAAAAAAGAGTTTTAATAAGATAATCATTAGGATATTCCTTGCATAAGTTTTTCTTCCCATTAAGTCTTTAGGATATTAGAAAATGAACATATTTAAAATATATAAAAGTGACACTGCATATAAGGATAAACTATGTTTAAGATCTGATTGACTACCAGTTACACAAGTTGAACTCTGATAAATTTAGTAGTTAATAAATATACTTATCTAAAGATGAAATCAGATTTTACCACTGGATTTTTATAAAACTCTTATATAAAAAAGGGATTTCTATCAGTTCAGCTGCAGAAAAGTGAACTGTTCTTTATTTCTTTTTAATTTTTTTAAATTTTTTGTTTTTTATTTCTAATATGAATATACAGACCAACAGATGACTAAAATGAATGGGTATGATAATAATTAAATTAGTGTGACATGGCATGAAAAAAACTTACTTCATATACTTCTTCCTATCAAGAGACTTCTGTGTTGCAGCAGAAAGAGACACTCGTGAACTTTTCATTTTATCCTTTAAAATACAAAAGTAACAAAGCTCTAACAGTACCCAGTAATACCACTAAATTACAGTATAGGATGATCTTAATTGCATGGACAGGCATATCTTACCAGTATTTTGAACTTTAACTTAGTCTTTATGATTGAAACAGTCTAATTAAAAACATTTAAATTAATTTTTACCAATGAAATAATATAAAATTTGCTTTTCTTTTGCCAACCCCACTAAGATCATTGTTTCAAACCACAGAACTCCAACACTCTGATATATTTTAAATGAACTTGGAGCCTGTTTTCTAACTCTGATTTCCAAAAAAGGAAAAAGCCATATGATAGTTTCAAGGAAATTTCATCAGGAGTAGATGATAGTTTATTAGGCATCCAAACAACATTCAAAGCTTCAAACTCCAAAATCTAATCACAAAACAATATGCAATTCTTGTACAGATTTCTTTTAATCAGTCTATAGGCTTAAGTGTTGCTGGTAATCCCAGGAATCACCTGTGCTTAAGAATTATAGGCAGGGTGCTGAAGTCAATAGAGAATGACATTTAGTATCAAGCATTCCAAACCCAAGAGCATATATATATGATTCTGCCCCTGGTTCCTGCTAATATTTGGTCTTTGATCCAAGTTCCTAAGAGAGCTAAACTTCTAAAACCCTTTTAATCTGACTGATATGAATGGCAGAAGCATCTTTTGTTTTAATATTTGGTCTTTGACTTTGGATCCTGACACAGATCTCCTAAACCCATTGGAATTTTCTGGTGATAGGAGCATCTTGTCTTCTAATGAGGCAACTCTGGGTGGACTCCTAGTCATCAGAAAGACCAAGCATGATTAGAAGTTTGGAGCTTTTTTAGCCTCATCTCCTATTCTCTGGAAACAGGAGAAGAACTAGAGATTGAGTTAATAATTGATCATGATGAAGCCTCCACAAAAATCCTAAAGTTCAGAGAGCTTTCAGGCTAGTAAACACATACATGTGCTAGAAAGATGGTCCCAACTCTACGGGAACAGAAGCTCCTGCTCTCAGGATCCTTCTGGACCTCACCCTATGCATCTCTTCATCTGGCTAATCATCTATATAACTTATTATATCCTTTACCTATACTAGGGGCCCGGTGCACGAAATTCATGCACTGGGTGGGGGTGAAGGGGAGTGTCCCTCAGCCCAGCCTGCCCCCTCTCACATACTGGGAGCCCTCAGGCGTTGACCCCCATCACCCTCCAATCGCAGGATCGGCCCCTTGCCCAGGCCTGATGCCTGGGTCAGAGGTGTCAGGCCTGGGCAGGGGACCCTCATTTCCCCCAATCACTGGTTCTGCCCCCAGCCCCCTCCGATTGCTGGCTCTCCCCCTTGCCCAGGCCTGATGCCTGGGTCAGAGGTGTCAGGCCTGGGCAGGGGACCCTCATTTCCCCCAATCACTGGTTCTGCCCCCAGCCCCCTCCGATTGCTGGCTCTCCCCCTTGCCCAGGCCTGATGCCTGGGTCAGAGGTGTCAGGCCTGGGCAGGGGACCCTCATTTCCCCCAATCACTGGTTCTGCCCCCAGCCCCCTCCGATTGCTGGCTCTCCCCCTTGCCCAGGCCTGATGCCTGGGTCAGAGGTGTCAGGCCTGGGCAGGGGACCCCCAGCTCTCTGTGGTTGCAGGCTCCGCCCCTGCCCAGGCCTAACGCCTCTGGCCTAGGCGTCCGGCCCGGGCAGCGGGGGGTGCTGCGATCACGCGGGCTTCGCCCCTGCCCCTGCAGGACGCCTTTGGCTGAGGGGTCCAGCCTGGGCAGCGGGGACCCGCAGCTGCAGCGGCCCCGCGATCGTGGGCTCCGCTTTAGGCCCAGGCAAGGGACCCCTAGCTCCCGGGACTGCCAGCTTCGACCGTGCCCAGCTCCTATCGCTGGCTCCACCCCTACCTCCTGCTATCACTGGCCAGGGCGGCAAAGGCGCCTGATTCTCCGATCATGGCTGGGGAGCAGGGCAAAGGTGGCCCCAGGGCCGCCTTTGCCCTACGCCCCAGCTCTTAGCTCCCCCCTGGGTTTCCGATCACTGTCAGTGGCAGGGGGCTTCTTCCTGCTTTCCCTTTCGCCTCCCTGCATTGTGCCTACATATGCAAATTAACCGCCATCTTTGTTGTCAGTTAACTGTCATCTGAGTTGGCAGTTACTTTGCATATAGCCCTGATTAGCCAATGAAAAGGGTAGCGTCGTACGCCACATACCATTTTTCTCTTTTATTAGTGTAGATAATAAAACCCTAATATGTAAATTGACCAAATGGCAGAACGACCAGTTGCTATGATGCACACCGGGCCTCTAGTTATATAATAAACCAATAAGTGTATGTTAAGTGTTTACCTGTGTTCTGTGAGCATTCTATAAAATTACTGACCTGAAGGGGGGGGGTTAATGGGAACCCCAATTTATAAGCATCAGACAGAAATTTAAGTGACAACCTGGGAATTGTGATTGGTGTCAGACATGGGGACAGTCTTAACTGCCTCCTTAACTTGCAGTATCTGTTAACTCCAGGTAGATACTATCAGAACTTAATTGAATGACACCCAGGGTATCAAAGAACTGGTTGGTGTGGGGGGGAAAACCCACACAGCTGGTGTCAGAAGTATTTTGTGACTGTAGAAGCAACAGTTTTTCTTTTTCACTTATTCATTACAAAATCAGATAACGTACCATTTGCCTGAGCATTTTCTCTTTTCGAGCTTCTCGGTCATGATGTAGAATAGACATTCTTTCAGCTGCATCCATTACAAAGAATATATCATGAATACCATACAGGGCAGCCCGCAACTAGTTTTAAAAGAAGAAAATATTGTACCCATTTAAAAAAATGAGGTCAGGGTTCAATAATATTATATACACTTTATTTAAAGAAAAAGATTAAAGTTTTAATTAAAACATATTTTCCGTGGTTAAGTGAAGGGAGAGAAATAAAGCATTTCCATTTCCCAAAGCCTTTAGGACCCATACACTTACCTGAGCCAGCACTCTCTCCTGAAGAGAAGCATCCTGTGCTGAAACAACTCCTCTCTTTAATGGTGCTTCTGACTGAAAACTTCTTATGAATTCCATAGTGTCCTGAACGAAAAAAAAGCTCCTTCAAAAACCATTTTTCTTGGAAGGTTCACAATCACTAGAGTTTCCTTTTGTTCTTTTTCTCAGTCAATCCAAAATTACTAAGAACACAAATCTATTACTTACCAGAATCAAAACAGCATTCCCTTTAAAGTGAGATGAAAATACATAAACTACTTTCTTTACGTATTTTAAAAAATTATCAGAATGAAATTAATAATCAGATTTCTAAAATTACCTATATTACAATAACTAAAAATAGCTTGATCTGCCTAAGTTCTGAACTAATTTGCCAATTCAGCTGTAACAAGACTGACAGAAACTGATACAGAAGTGAAATACAAATAATTTATAAAGATCTTCTTACTTTTACAGTTTGTCGAAGTTGCTTCAATTTATCTGTCTCCATAAGCCTACGAGTAAGAAATCCTTTTGCCACAGCAGTTATTCTATTAAATTTTGCTTGTACTTCTGGACTGAAAGCCTAGAAGAAATAAGAGAGACACATGTTTTAATAACTTGAGCATTATACTCAAGATTGTTTATCTATTACAATGAACTAAATTTTTCTATAAATATATGCTCTATGTAGTTTCAATTCTAATAAAAGCTAAACTATTTGATGTGTGACAAAAACACCCACACTCATTTGTATAACCTAAGATAATATAGAAAATATTAAAAAAAAATAGAAAGAGCCCTAGCTGGTTTGGCTCATTGGATAGAGTGTTGGCCTGAGGATTGAAGGGTCCTGGGTTTGATTCCAGTCAAGGGCACATGCCCAGGTTGTGGGCTCGATCCCCAGCAGGGAGCATGCAGGAGGCAGCCGATCAATGATTCTTTCTCATCATTGATGTTGCTATCTTTATCTCTCTCTCCCTTCCTCTCTGAAATCAATAAAAATATATCTAAAAAAAGTTATAGAAAGATAAAGTAGATAGATGGATATATGTGTATCATTAAGTTTGCCCACCTGAGACCATTTAGTTGTGGCTCTTACAGAAGGCCTTGTTACGGAGGGTTTGGTCAAGCCACTAGTTGATGATCCCCAGAGGTAGAATGGTGCTTCATTTACAGAACCAAAGCTATGTTGTAGGGCAGAATTTGTGAAACCTAGAGAAATATACATTTAGTTTTATACTTGATGTGAGATAATCAGAATATGCAAAACACCTAAATAAACACAACACTCATTACCAACACTACCAACAAAAAACAATGACAACTGCCTCTGGAACTGATCTACTTAAAGTATTTATGGACGTTAGGCTTATGTACCAGATGGATCTTTTCAACACAAACAGCATCTCAGGATAATTGAAGATGTGAAGATAAACTCTTACTGGGATAGGAATTAGATGTAATTCAAGATTACTCTGGAGACAACAAACGGTGTTTTCACTTGAAGTATACCACCTGCTGCATGAATGAACAAAGATTGGACTCTGCATCAAATTTCTGGATATTTTCCTTGCTAAAGTGGCTTTTCTCATGAACACCTGCTCACTGTCTTCAATCTGCTGCTATTGTTTAATTTTTCACTAGTTAATAAGCAGCTGGCAAACAGCAGTGGGTTGGGCATGGAATTACTTGGGGAAAAAAGCTACAATTTAAAGTGTGACAAATAAAATATCTTACTACAGGATAATTTTTTCAAATGGAAAGGATTTTAAAATATTTACCAGAACTATTGGAATTTGAAGTATGGAGTGAGTCCATTTGAGAGAGCATCGTTTCTAGCAAACTGGAGTCACTTATTTTTCTCCATTCTAAGTCCACTGTACTGTTAATATCCAATTCAGAGGCTTCCGCTGTAATCACTTTCTTCTCTTTGAACATTTTTTCCTGTTCTTCTATTTCCTATAGAATAAGAGTTCATTAAAACATGCTAGATATTTTTGTTAAATTGTATCCCAAAACAGTATCATTTTAGGATTAGCTAAAAGTATGTATAATTATCAGCAAATTGTTATCTATTTCAAGTGTTCCTCCCTCTAATAAAATTGATAATTTGATTTTAAAATATGATATATTAACAATAATCTTAAAACAAGTGTCCTCCTCTTAAAATATACTCTTGCAGAATGCTTATTTTAGCATCTACTTATAAAATAACTTTACAAATATTAAGTTTTGAATCAAGGATTCAATAAAGTATCCTATTGATAAATTCTACATTATTTTTAGACTAGAGGCACGAATTCATGCACAGTCAATTGAGGCCATCTGGGCCGATCAAGGCTGGCCGGCTGTGGGGAGGGACCATGCGAGGTTGGCTGTGGGAGCTCACTGACCACCAGGGGACAGCTCCTTTGTTGAGCATCTGCCACCTGGTGGTCAGTGTGCGTCATAGTGACTGGTCGTTTGGTCGTTCAGTCGCTTAGGCTTTTATATACATAGATAAGAATCTAAACAGTAAACCTCACATTCTGGTAATAAAAATATTATCCATGTATCAAAACCAATGACCCCTTTAGGTTAACATATTCTGGAGGAAAATTGCAAGTATCCTATCCATGACTAAAATTCTTAGATATTGCTGGCTAAATTCCACTTACCAGCCCTATATCCGTACCTCACCTTTTGCAATCTTTCCTGTTCCCTTTCCTGCTCAGCTATGAGTAGTGATAACTGCTGGGCGTGCTGTTCTTCTAGTCTCTTCCGCATTTCTTCAAATGCTAACATCTTGCTTTTTAATATTTCCTCATCTTCTGAAAAGAAACATGTCCCCTCAGATTTAGAAAATTTACAAATCTAACATCTGATGTTTTATATCAACTTAAAGTATGTTTCTGACAAAAGATTATTCCTGGATCTGACATAATATAATCAAGATATAGCCAGGCCCCTCCTTTGAACCACATTCTCTTTTGGGACTCTTATTTCATGCTATCAAATAAAGGCCCCCATCTCACCACCTTCACCAGCTCATTCAACAGGCTCCTAATTGATACTAGAGAATATTGGATGGATCTGGAAGGTGAAATGAAACCAGGAAGAAAAGGCATTTCTTGAAATCCCAAGCAATGAAGCCAGCTGGAGGAACAGATTTCTAACCTTGATGATGCAGTAGGAAACTGTAAAATCAGAGCCATATAAAACCTGGACTGTTCTAGTGGCTGCAATCTGTCTTTTTACATTGGCTTTTGTTTTCCAAGCTATTGTATATTTGGATTGCAGAACAATTTGTAAGAATATTTTTTTTTAACTCTGCATTATTAAAAATGTCCTGAGTTAAGCTGATTGTCAACTTTATTAAGGATTGCTTTGTGCCCACTGCTATCAAGGTTTGTTCTGGAGATGCAAAGGCAAATGCCTATCCTGTGTCAGCACTTTCAGCTTCAAATATATCATTGAACTGAACGTGAAAAAAGGTGCTGGTGAGCTTGTGCCAGTGCAGCAGACAAGTGAGCTTTTTTCCATACCCCTTCTCCTTTCTGCCTCTCCCTTCTCAAAGTTCTCCATGAAAGGTATATTTTGATAAAGCCTTTTAAAAAAAAGTATTGATGACAATAAAATAATAACATGGGGGGTTCCACCCAGGGCTTCAGGACAAGGAGCTCCCTCACTAGAGAGGGGCACTGCCTCCCTTGCCCACTTTGATAGCAACCTGGCTGCCTCCACTGTCAGAATTGCCACTTGTTGGTTTTGGGATTTCCTGAGATAGCTTCTAGCCATGGTATGTAGTTTACATGGAGAATCAGGTTAGCTTCCCAGGTTATCCACTGTTGTTTTTATTAGCATTCTTATAAAGTTGCACAGGTTTTAAATGGTCAGTCCTAACCCCATTTTTCCTAAAAACCCTATTAGTTTTAGCATACTATTTTACAGAATGTGAGGTTTTTTTCAGGAAGACATATATCACATTAAAACTGAAATGTTTATGTCTAAGAACTTAATTTACTTCACTTATGTCTCCCATTCTCAGCAATCAAGAATTATGAACCATGACAACAAAGTAAGAAGTAATGGAGAAGACATGTTTTAGCAAGCTGTTAATATAACATCAGATGCAACAGAAATTTGAAATAATTTCTATCAATAAAGATACTATTCTTTTTTTTGGGGGGGGGGAGTTAATCCTCACTTGAGGATATTTTTCCATTGGTTTTTTTTAGAGAGTGGAAGGGAGGGCGAGAGAGAGAGAAACATCAGCGTGAGAAAGACACATTGATTGGTTGCCTCCCACACATGTGTGATCAGGGCCTGGGATTGAGCCTGCAACTGAGGTACTATCCTTTACTGGAATTCGAACCCGGTATGCTTCTGTCCTAGGGCCAACACCCTATCCACTGAGACAAACTGGCTAGAGCTAAAGATACTATTCTTAAAATACTACTCACAGAGCCTAATTTGTGATATTTTTCTCTAATAATTTGATGTTAAAGTTTTTACTAAAGAGCCAACTACAGGAGATCTCATCACAACTGAAAGGACAAACAGGTGAAAACATTAGAAACCACAGCCCAAAAGGAAGACATCACAACAATACACTGGATTAAAACTGATTTCATACAAGAACTTTTTCCTCCAGTCATTAACAATATTCTCTATAATACCAAGTGGATTGTGAAAGATTCATAAATTAAAATTTAAAATCCTATAAGAAAAGCCAAATGGTAATAAACTGTAGCTAATATGCACTCTGGTAAGATAAATGAAATTAAGTACCCTAATGAACAGATAAAGATGATTATTTTGCAAAAATGTCAATTAAAAGTATTCAATAAAGGTGTCATCTGCTTGGCAGGTATCAAACATTTCCAAGTTTCTTACCTCTAGAAATACTTTCTAACATTTTATTCTTGTTGATGTAGACAGATCCTGTAGGGCATATTTTTTCTGGCAAATGTTGCCTCTCCTGTTCAGCTGTTATGACATATGGGTAGTTTTCTTTTTGCATAC